CCCCCAGCCATTGTCCAGATAAGAGGTGACATTCATCATCAGCTCAGATGAGGTTCTGTCACATGTCCACGGCCTTGGGGAAGGGAGTGGTGAGGAAACAATCAAAGCATCTTTGTTATTTTCAAAACATGCCAGGAGGAGTTGAGATATTTTAATTTTAATTTTCATTTTTGTTCAGTATAAAAAAGATAACTAAATAATGAATGTTTGTACTTTTCATTTTTACTTAACTCTAATTTTACGCAATATAAAAACCAGAAGGCATAGTTTCCTCTGATAAATGGTGGCCAGTTTACAAGTATATATGGTGGTGGCCATCTTGGATTTTTCTGAGGCAATGCTTTTTTTCACAGTGACCTTTCTTACACCTAGATGCAGCCACACACCCAAAATGGAATCCAGCACATAGCTCATTTTCATCATACAGCTCACAAGGTGTGCATGTGTACGTATATGACAGCAGACCTCTTGAATTGTAACATACTGTAACCCAGTTTTCAAAAGGAACCTTTCTTACATGCAGCCACACACGAAAATGGAAGTCAGTACCTTACTTATGTTTCAAATGATCAAGCAGGAAGTCCAGGGTGTGCTCAGTTAGTGGGAAACTAAACATTTAAAACTTTTTGAGTTTACTGAAAGTTCTGAGCAGAGACTTTATTTAATTTAATAACACATGAAGGCTGAGGTGTGTGTTAATTTTTGTCTTCCGCTCTATGTTCATGTCCAAACTTCAGTGTCTGTCCTCTGAGTTTAGCTTCTGAGCAGCTCCGTCTGTTTTTAGTTGACTGAAACTCTGTGGTGCCGGGCTGTGATGTGTTTCTGCTCTCCACGTGCATAGAAATAAAAATAAAAAAAACATGTGTTGTGTTAGTTGTGTGTTGGCTCATTCTCACCTGCTTTGGCTTGCCTTTCTCCACTCGGACCTCTTTAGAGTTGTAGATCTGTGGACAAGACGGGAGAAAGAGGACAAACTTATTTAATCATGTTTCTATTCTAGTCTCAGGAGAGGAATCCATTGAACATCATTTTTAAATTATCTGATTTTTTTTCCTTAAATAGTTGCTGCAGTTCCTTATTTTAAACATACTAATGAATAAAATACAGATACTGTGTATGAGATTTTCATGCCCTGAAGAAGGACATGTAGTGTAGAATGTAGTAGAGGTGAAAGGCATAGCAGATAGGGTGATGTGTCTGAAGGTAGAAGTAGAAGG